TGGGGGTGCGGGCTCTGGGCTGTGGCCGGGGATGAGGGGTTTGGGGTACAGGGGGGGCTCAGGGCTGGGGCAGGGAATTGGGGCTCAGGGTTGGGGCATGGGCTTACCTTGGGCGGCTCCTGGTCAGTGGCACAGCAGGGCTAATACAGGCTCCCTGCCTGTTCTGGCACTGCGCTGCACCCTGGAAGCGACGAGCAGGTCCGGGGCCTCCGCAGGGGAGACAAGAGGCTCTGCGCCTGACCCGCAGGTACCACCTCCCCAGTTCCCACTGTCCAGAAACTGGCCAATGGGAGTGTGGAGCTGATGCTCGAGGCAGGAGCAGTGCGCAAAGCCCCGTGGGCCCCCCGCCTAGGAGCCAGACCTGCTGGTCGCTTCCGGGGCACAGCGCGGTGCCAGGACAGGTAGGGACTAGCGTGCCTCAGATCTGCAGCGCCGACTGAACTTTTAATAGCCCAGTTGGTGGTGCTGACCGGAGCCGCCAGAGTCCCTTTTCAACTGGGTGTTCCTGTCGAAAACCGGACACCCGCTCACCCTAATGTGTATACTGGTAAATGCCGTGTCTTCCACTAAATATCTAAGTATTTTGGAGACCTTGTCCGCTTTGTTGTTGTGCTCAGTCTTGTTTAGGGGTGTGCAGACAATGGTCTGGATTCTGTCACCCAACTGTAACTTGATTGATTTCAGTGAAATCATATCTAGGTGTACATTACCATAAGTGAGAGAAGACTCTGGCCTGTTCAATATAGTTCATCATTTTACCCCTCACTGTGGATTTTCTCACTCTTACTGAGGGGAAGCAGGCCTTGGAAGTAAGGGATAGTTTTGGGACAAGGTTTGAGCTTGATTCCTGGATCTGTCCAGACTTCCTGGCAAGTCACTTCAATCTGTCTGTGCCTCAGTTTCCCATTCCTAAAAATGGAGCTAGGCAAAGGGTAGGAGAAAGGAATAATTGCTATCTTCTCTATTTACTCTTTGGGGCAGGAACTGTCCCTTACTGTATGTATGTACAGTGGCTAGCACAATGGGGCTACAGTCTTGATCAAGGCCTCTAGGTGGTGCTGTGTTAAAGTAGTTAAGATAATCAAGTTTGGCCCACAGTAAATGAAATGAGCCCACTGCTGGAGGCATGCGTGCAAGGGGTACTACGGTGATTACTTTTCTCTGCATTGTGCTGTTTCAGAGAATAATTAATAAGTTTTTTTCCTTCTTGCCACAGAAACAGCACATATAATTCTTCGACCTTGGATGACTCAGAAGAATTGCAAGTGGCCCAAGATGCTGAGATATGTTTGCTGAAGTCAGGAGAACTGATGTAAGCAGAACAGCTTCATTACTGCCCGGTTTAAAGAATAACTGCCAAATCGGCATCTTGGATATCATCTTGGTCAATTCTCATTGACCTCAGGGGGAGCAGTCCGTATGCATCTGAGGGCAGGACTTGGCCCTAAGAACAGCATCATGGGGATATACCTCAGTTAAATAGTGGGTGTGGGGGTGATAAGGAGAGAATCAGCTTGCCCTCCTGCCTGCCCATCCTTTTGGGGCCAGGAAAATCTTCCCTCCCACTACTGCTAGAGTTCAGGGGGAACTGAGACCTGTAAACAGAAATTGGAGAGAGGCTTTTAGCACTTGGATACCTGGAGGAAGACATTTCTCAATGCTCAATTAATCTTCTGTGTTTGGTGAGCCTTTGGGGGAGCGGCTTATTTCCCATCAGCCACCTCTACCCAAAATGATTCTGGCATATCTACTGCTGTCTATGGCTTCTCTCCTGATGAATACGTATATGCCACAATAGGAGTAAATCTTCAAAAAAGCCCCAACCCAGCCTGCACTTGTGTGCCCACAATCCCCTGCACACACACGACTCGAGTGCTAACATTTACACACAATGGCAATAGAATGTGTCACTTGCACAGCAGCTAATAGAATTGATATGCACAAAACCCATCATTCTTATCCCCACCCGTAGATGCCCCTTTTTGAAAATTTGGCTCAGCTGTGAGAAAGGTTTATACTTTGACTACAAGAAGGTGATTTGGTCTGTGCTGGGATTTTGTTGTGGTCTTTCTGAGAGCCCAAACAACGGCAGCTGTAACAAAATACACACCCAAACAACGGATTGAGGGGTGGGGGAAAGAAATGTCATTAGCTACTTAAACTCTGTCAGACGACCCTTAATTTTAGTAGTTGTTTCACCTTAGGTAAGAACTAACATTATGAATAAAGCTAAACATTTCTCCTTGGTCTGGGAACAGTAGTTATCATTAAAACTCAGCATTTGCCAACGGATGGCTGAGATACCACAGTGATCCCCATACTGAGAGTTGGAAATAACTATGGGAATTGTGTGGTATCTGCTGGCAAGTGCTGATTTTTGATGGTGGACAATGAATTTATTACAGTGTATCATAATACCAGAGATCACGGTTAGCTCTTTGCTTAGATGATTTCTCTTGATTCTAAATAATGATATATCAAACCAACTCCAATGGAAATACTGTGGACTTGATCCTCCTCAGCTGGTTAATTGGTGAAGCTTCATTGAAGACCATGAGCTGAGGATCTAATTATATAGATGTGAAATATATCACTATAGAGAGGCAGTCTGACAAAATGTTAAAGGGCTAAACCTCCCAAGGTCCTGAAGAGAATTCAGTTTTAATGTTAGGTTCCAAAGTTGGTACTTATGTAGTTTGCTTGTTCACTGACGATGTGAGCTTCAGGGTTAATTACCCCAAAAGCCCCAGGACAGAGCACAATGTGACATTTAGTAGAATGGCTGCTCATAGTCCACTTGCTCTGTAAATCTCCCTAAACTTCCATTTCTCGGTATGAATGATGTTAGTATGCTAAGTGACATTGGCTTACATATAAAGGAGACAGCAGAGGGCAGCAGTCTTTTTCATGACATCTTTTATTACAAACATTAAGTCGTATACTTGCTGATCAAGAGAAACAACAGTGTAAAGTGAGACTGAAGTCACGTATCTGTACCACACTCAATATTACTTCTTTTTAACTACACTGGAATAAATGAATGAGTGAAGTCGCTGAATGCCAGCAGCAATAGAAAGCACTAGGCTGTGATTATCTGGTCCTTGCTTTCATCCAAAGTTGTATAGCTGCATCTTCTAGACATGCCCCAAAGTCACCGAGGAGTCTGCAGAAAGTAGGTCAGACAAAGGAAAATAAAATATCAATGCCCACTGTTCAGATGTCTTCACAATCTAATTTGATCCTCTCCAATGGTTATGTTTGTCTTTCAGGATAAAATTACCCCTTACAGTTGAAGAGATTTTAAATTTTGGGGAAGACAACAGGGAGCTGTTCATTAAGTCCAGCACCTACAGCACCATCCCTATAACCGTGACAGAGACTGGCCTTACAATCAGCTGGGTGTTTTCATCAGACCCAAAGAGCATAGCATTCAGCGTTGTCTACCAAGAATCAGAAGAAGCAATGCTGGATCAGTGCAAAGTAAGGCAGTTATTTCAGGATGGGATTTTTTTCCTCACTGACCTACCTCAGGAATTGCATTTCACCACATGAGGTGAATGAGTTTGTCTGGAGGAACCAGCAAACTTACTTACCATGGCCCCAACAAATGTCACTGGAAGTTGCATCGCTGTAGTAACAAATATGAAAGTGTCAAAATGTCTCATCAGGAAAACTGTTCCTTGTCCAAAGTCCATTGACCTGTTGCGGTGGGAAGAAGTACACCTTTAATTATTAGCGTTGCCTGGGGAAATAGGGTGACATTGCACTGACTGGCACTTTAGCTTCTGATGTTTGTATTTAAAGTTAAATCACTGTCACTAAGCTAACCAATCGGCTCCTTCAGCTCCAACCTGCAAAATCTGTGTAGTGTTTAGTTTTTTTCCTTACATTTAATGCAAAAGACAAATATTATTTGTAAATAGCATAGGGCTCAATCCGGCAGGACTCTTAAACACAGGCCATCCGTTGAAAGATGAAGTAGTCAATGGGGCTACTCACAGATTTAAGATTAAGCGTGTGCTTCGGTGCATTGCTGGATATGACCCAAAGTGCTCAACATTTTGCAGGATCAGTGCAGAAAGCCCCACAGTACATTCCTGATTCACACTGCATGTGTCTTTTATAGGAAAAAAGGGGTGGTGTTAACCCTTGTTAAGCTAACTAACCTGTGTTAAAATTGTAGTGAAAACAAAGCAGTTATAGTTTTAACCCATGTTGCTGGGAAGACCTAAGGTTTCCCATGACCAGCTAACACTGATTAAGGTCATGTCTATATGTACAGCACTGCAGCACATCTGGTCAAGGCATCCTATGCTGATGGGAGAGAGCTCCCTCCACCTCCACGAGCAACATAAGCTACGTCGGCAGGAGAAGCTCTCCCGCCGATGTAGCACTGTGCACATGACCACGTATATCGGTGTGATTTATGTCACACGGGGGGGTGGTTTATTCATGCCCCTGAGCGACATATGTTTTGCCGACACAGGCTGTAGTGTAGACATGGCCTAAAACTATAACTGACTTTTCTTGAGGACTTTAACACAGATTAAAAATACACTTTTTTTCCTAGCTAAGACAAGTCCAATAATTGTCCCATAGCCTTCAAAAGGGTCACTAGCACAAGTTGCATGGCCAAAGCCATATTTTGTATTTCTTACATCACTTGTATACCCCCCCTCACCAGATAAACAGAGCACAAACATGAAGAGAAGAAAGAGTGAGAAGAAAAGAATTGTTACTTTATAAACTGCCAGTATGCCTCAACCCTGCTGTGGAGGGTGATAGGAAAGATAGCTGGTCTCCTTGCTCTTCCAGTCCCTGGCTTCTCCACTAAGGGCTTGTCTACACTTCCAGCTGTGCAGCACCGGGGCAGCTGTGCCACTGTAGCACTTAGTGAAGACACTAGCTAGGCCAATAGGCGAGCTTCTTGCATCGGCATAGGTACTCCACCTCCCCTAAAGGCGGTAGCTATGTTGACGTGAGAAACCCTCCCATCGACCTAGTACTGTCTACATCACAAGTTTGGTTAGTATAACTGCGTCGCTCTGAGGTGCGGATTTTCCACACCCCTGAGCGACAGTTATACTGACATACATTGGTAGTATAGACCAGTGGTTCTCAAAGCCAGTCCGCCGCTTGTTCAGGGAAAGCCTCTGGTGGGCTGGGCCGGTTTGTTTACCTGCCGCGTCCGCAGGTTCGGCCAATCGCGGCTCCCACTGGCTGCAGTTCGTGCGGGCCGAGGGATGTGCTGGCCGCTCTTCCTGCAGCCCCCATTGGCCTGGAGCGGCGAACCGCAGCCACTGGGAGCCACGATCACAGGGAGACAGTTTAAATATGACCTGACATTCACTCACAAGAACAGATAATGCAAACCAAGAGAAATACATACACACAAGGAGGCCCTCTTGTTGCCCCCTAGGAAGGTGTAAGACCAAATATCTCTTCCAAACCTAGAGTAGAGGTAGAGCTTTGAAACCAAGTTCTGTTTTGATTTTTCAATTCCAGGTACTCATTCCTATGACCCGCTGCAACTCTCATAAGGAAACTATCAGAGGACAGGTGAAAGCGAGAAACTGTGGTATCTACATACTGATATTTGACAACACCTTCTCTAGGTAGGTAGAGTCAGGGTAGAGATTGAAATAAGGAGTGTTTCATCACTTGTAGACTTTAATAGACTGGCTATTAAGAAAAAGAGGTCAAAAATTGGTTCAGTGGCCTGAGTTTCAGATTTTATTAAAGATCGTTTCCCGTGATTCTGTAACATTGTTCCATCCTTTGATGCTCTTGATCTCTGAGACAGTAAATAACAGAAACTTACCACATGATTATTTACAGCCAGTTCAGAGTCAGGATTGTCTTCTTGTAGTTAATGCTCCTACTGCATCCAATCCGGCAGTCCTAACTCACGCAAAACTTCTTGAAGTCCAATGGATGATTTGCCTGAGTAAGGATTGCAGGGTTTGACCAGCTATTATGATCTTACTTTTACTTGAGTTAGACTAACATAATCTTCTGTTTGTTTTGTACAGGTTTATCTCGAAAAAAGTATTTTATCACTTGACTGTTGAACAACCTGTGATCTATGATGGAAGTGATTTTCCATAGCCTTGAATATATGGTGTCCTTTTTTAATGATATTTTTAAGAAACACTATTATTTATATGTATGTAAGCACTAAAAAGATTGTTGTTTGAACACCTCCTTAAGCTATGCAGTAGTTACAAAACAAAGCACTTACAGTGTGTTTACACAAAAGAAAGAAACCCTTCACAGGAACACTAGTGGCTCGATACTGTGTAGAGATTGCTCAAAAGCCATGTTGTTTTGTAGAACTGGTCAAAAAAAAATGTCTTCAACCTTTTTTCAATGAAAATTTGGTTTTTGACCAAATTAAAATTTTTGATGTTTTTGTCAAAGAAAACAAAAAATAGTTGGCTGAAAACTGAAAAATATTATTTTGTTGAAAAGCTTATATTTTTTTCTTGGAAAATTTTGATAAAAATAAAAATAAAATAAAAAATTGAAATTTTCACTTGGGGAAAAAACATTTTCTGACCAGCTCATAATTATAAAAAACTATAAAAAAATGCAAGTATGCAAAACTCTAGACATTACAGATATGTATCGTTAAAGGATCATTATTATCTTTTTCAGACTTATAAGCAATATACTTTTTAGATATTTAGTTTTGGTTTAAAATGTCTAACTGGGTTTTAAAAAACACTCTGACATTTAATGTCAATCACAAAAAAAAATGCTGCAACAGTTGTAAAATTAAGGATTATTTCTTCCAGTCTTGATCGCTCTTCTCTGTAAGTAGAGCCACTGACATCAATGGGAGTTCTTGCAGAGTAAGGTACAGTGGCGGCTCGCATGCCTGGGGCGGCAAGCCGTGGGGGGCGCTTTGCCGGTCCCTGCGAGTGCGGTAGTCAGGGAGCCTTCGGCGGCATGCCTGCGGGAGGTCTGCCGGTCCCGCGGATTCGGCAGCAATTCAGCGGCGGGTACGCCAAAGGCCGCGGGACTGGCGGACCTCCCGCAGGCATGCCGCTGAAGGCAGCCTGCCTGCCGTGCCTGTGGCGGCAAAAAAGCTAGAGCCGCACCTGGTCAGGTACCTCTCTAAGTAACTTACAGTGGCAGAATCTGGTGTATAATTGGCAGAAAAAATCAGCAGTTCTCGTGTGTGACACTAAAGAAAGGGAAACAGGCATGTTTCTTTTTTCTGCTTTGGCTTCTTTTAAGCCACAGTAATCGCACAAAAATAAAAACTCGAAGGATACAAATGATGAGAATGGTTCCTTTTTATAGACTGAGTGGAAGGTAGCAATTGTTGAGCCTCATCAGATTTGATCCAGTCTAGATAAGTCCACCCAAAACTGGATGCATATCCAAACCTAGTGAGGTCCTCCTCCTTCTCCCCTGTCCTCCTATCCTTCTCTCTCCTGCTTACCAGTTCAGCCAGGTCACTTTCCTTTGTCCTTCCCCTTATTCCTGCTTCCTCTACCCCCGTCTACCTCTTCCTCTGCTCCTTCCCTCCAAGTACAAATGATTTCCTCCCCATTTCCTGGCTAAATCTGGTGACTCCTATTACCATTCTCCATTGTCCATCCAGCCCTCATGCTTCACTTTCTCCATAGCCTCTCCCCTATATTTATCTCCCCAGAATAAACCAGTGGTTTGCAGTTTCTGCTGGGCCCAGAGTGGCTCCTGTATTCAAATCTTGTGCACTCATGGGCCAGGCTGGTTAAAAGTTTTCAATCAAAACTGGTTTTGGTGGAAATTTATTTTTTTTATTTTAAACAAAAATCTCCATAGAAAGTGTCTGCTTTCTGCACAAAATTTGAGGGGTTATTTGTGTTTTTGAGAGGTTTTTTTTAATAAAAACTAGAAAAACAAAAGATTTTGGGGTCTCAGTTGAAAAGTGCTCAGTTTATCAACAGAAAGTTGAACTTTTTTTTTTAAGTGGGGGATGGACATTTTCCAACCAGATCTCCTCATGGGTCAGAGATATCTCAGAATGGACTGGATATCCCTCACCGAAGGAGCGTGGGGAGCGTGGGACCATGAGAGATTTCAATGCAGCAATTGGTGAAAGCCCAGCAGAACCTGCCAGGAATCTGACAGCTCCCTGATGGGAATAGCAGCTGATGTAGGGGGCCCTGTGCGGAGTTAGAGGAGGCAAAAGAAACCTGGGGTTGGGAACAGAAAACAGTGGGAGTTTCCAAGTCTAGGCTGAAGGATCTGGCTGGTTGACTGTATAGGACTTGGAAGGGGGAGAAGGAGGAGACAAATTTGGGTACAAAAGAGCATTGGATGGAGGTGTGAGGGCTCTTTATCAAAGGTTCAGTTCAGTTTGGAAGAAGGATTGAGGTTCAAATGGGTGTGTATATTTTTCTGGTCCCGTACCTCAGCCCTAATGGATTCTATTTGATGGGGATAGCACTATTGCTGTGAAGGCACAGATTGTTCATGTTGATTGTAAGCACTGAGGTTCTGGTCACTTAACCAATAATGATAAAAGCACAGGACATTTCCTGGGGATTAATGATCATCTGAAAGGAGAGGACTCCGTGTCCCAAGGTACAGCTGAAGGCCAGTAATCCCTATTGCTGAGGTCATTGTTGCTATTGTAAAGGGCAATGAAAGGGGATGGATGTTGTTTATGGGCGATGCACTTTTTAATTGGTCAGTATAGGGTATTTTTAGACCATAAATGCCCTCGCTATGCCCCCAGTCCAAAGCCCACTGAAATAAATGTAAATCCTCTCATTGAGTTCAACAGGCTTTGGATTGGGCCCTATGTTAACCTGCCAGGATTTTGACTCATCTCGAGACATTCCATTGAGTTGACAATCCAGTTCGTCTTTCTTATTATATCAGTACTACATGTAAACTGCCGTGGGAAGATGTGTCAAAGAAAGATGCAGGGTCCTTTTCTTTGTAGGAACAGAGAGGTCAGAGACCATCACAACTGAGCTCTATACTGCTGAAATATGATTAAATTTAAAAGATTCTAATCAAGATGGAAATGAGATTAAAGTGAGTAGCACATAAGCAATAAACAAATTATGCACTGGCCCCAATTTCATTATTTACCAGCATATTATTTTAGTGCTGAGGTTATGTTTTATTCTTATTTAGGCAATGAGAGTTTATTTAATGTTTAAAAGTAGAATACTATGTACCATACACTATGCAATATAATGGCTGTTTCCTGAAGTCTACTGCAATTTTCCTTAAACTTTTAGGTGTGATTTTAAAAGCATTTTGCTACTGTTTAGCTAGAATACTAATTTCACTAAGATATTTTTCTTAAAATGCCAAACTTAAGTTAAAGGGACACTGTCAAGTGTTAGGCCAAGCTGCGATCTATAATATATTATAAATAATCTGGTGAAGGGTAGCCTCTGGATTTACTTTTTTTACTTTACTCTCTGTCTCTTTTTTTAAATCTATCACTCTGTTGCAAAGATTTTTTTTTAAATGAGCTGTTCATGTAGGGCCCAGAGTAGCTCTGCTTCTGCAAAAAAAGGTATTGCAACCTCAAATATTTAAAAACATGAATCTGCCCCGCCACCCACAAATTTTGAGAGATTTATATGCCGATCATGAGATTTTTTTAAATAATAAATGTTGGACTTTTTATTTACCTTTTTCGCTTTTAAGTATTTAGGTTGCATTTGCATCACATTTTCAAACTTTTCTCTGCAAGCATCAGGGGTAGAAACTTACTTATTGAAAAAGGAACATTGAGATACTCCTGCAACACCAGGACTCCAGCAGCTGGGGCTTAGTGAAAAACACTAAAAACTGTAAGTGTTGGCAACAGTGAAAAACAGCAATCCAGCATCAAAAGCAACGTTTATTAACAGAACTCTCTTATCAGAGCTGTGCTGAGGTTGTCAATAAAGCTGTTAACACAAACATGGTAAGAAATTTAGCAGTTGCACGACATCAGAAATGCAGAGTTTTCTTTTGTTTTTTTTAAATGTTTTCCAATTGAAAAAGTTGAAAAAAGCCAATATCCCAGAGCTTCACTCTAGTGGGCTGTTATGCTGACTGGGGAGCAGCTGAGTATGCCCAGTGCTCTGGCCACATCCCGCACATCAAATGGAGATGTGGCTAAGAGGAGGTGGCAGCTCCACAAAAGCCACCTGGGCAATCCCCAGTGCTCCAGTAGGGTGGCTTTGGAGCCCCTCTGATCTCTGGAGCGCTGCAGAGAAAAAACAACAACGCTATTTTCAAGCCAATACGAGGGTTTTACAAATAACGTATTTAGAAACAGGAGATTTGTACTGTTAAAGTTCGATTAAATATTCCTAATTAATGTTTATGGTGCCGTTTAAACTGAAAAGGAATCCAACCATGCAATCCAAAAGACTGGAGTGTTGTTACATATCAGGCCAAGGTGCTGTGCAAAGAGGATAGTGACAACCTGTTAACGTACCTGGTTTTCCATTCATACATTAATAAATGGAGGCAAAGTAGCCCCTGATGGACTATACAGCAAACAGAAAACAAATAGTCCAGAAGGATGGTACAAGAACAGCCATCAGTCAAGTGTCCTAAGCCGCAATTCAACAAAGTATTTACGCACATGCTTAACTTTGTAGTTATTGGGATGGCTCGTGTACTTAAAGAGAACCACATGCTCATGTGCTTTGCTGAAATTAGTCTTTTAAGAACTGATGATCAGCAGCAATGGAAATAAGACAAAAGACATTTTAATCTGTAATTAAATGAAATTAAAAGTGAGTGGTAATTTTGTTACACAGACAGTACAATTATAGCACAGTGGAAGCCAGTTACCCAACATCACAATGCCCATTACTAGGCTCAAGGATTTACACATATTTAAGTAGCAGTAACAGTAATGTGCAGTCAGGTGTTTTTTTCGGGGAGTCAGAGGATGTGGCTAATGATTCTCTCCCACCAGAGTTTTCTCTGCATAGGGTAGAATTTACTTGTTTTTTCTCTTTTTGTTTTTTCATTGCTTGACAGTGTTCCTTTACATTTCTATAAGTGGTTCATGAAAACTTA